GTGTAGGAAAGGGTTTGCCAAGCCAAAACCTCTTGCTAGTTGAAGCAATGATGCAGGTGTTCTTTGAAAACACCTTGGTTGCAACGTAGCCCTGTTGAAGTTAAACAAAACCCCCTTTTTGTTGCAAACAGAATACAGGGAAAGAGAAGTGCGTAGCTGGAGAGAGAGGCACTGGTTAAAAGAAAGGCTTCCTACCGTGCAAATAGTCACAGGGAAAGAAAATATTGGTCCTTTCAATTATATTGTTTAGGTAAATGTGTCATGGAGGCTGACGAGAGGCTTTAGTAAAAGGTAAATTGCCTCCTCCAGCAATGCCACGTGTATGATGTGTTCTCCTGCTTAGGGCAGGTGAAGGAATTTGCTGCTGAAAAGCTAATGCAGCACACAGTGGGCAGCAGAAACAGTCCCAAGGCTGAAGGAGCATGCTTTTAAGCATCTGCTCTGAAATCTGATGAAGTTTTACAGAATCAAAGAATCAGCCAGGTTGGAAAAGACCTTTGAGGTCATTTGAGTGCCACATCCGGTCTTTTCTTAAACCCCTCCAGGGACAGTAACTCCACCAGCACCTGGGCAGCCCATTCCAATGGCCAGTCACGCTTTCTGTGAGGAAATTCTTCCTAATGTCCAGCCTACACTCCCCCGGTGCTGAGTCCTCTTGTCCTATTGCAAGTTGCCCGGGAGTGGAGATTGATCCCACCTGGCTGCACCGTCCTTTCAGGGAGATGTAGGGAGTGGTAAGATCTCCCCTGAGCCTCTTCTTCTCCGGGCTAAACACCCCCAGCTCCCTCCACATAGGGCTTGTGTTCCAGACCCTCTGCCAGCCTTGTTGCCCTTCTCTGGACACTCTCCAACATCTCAACATCCTTCCCTTTCAGGGGAAATGATAGATATACTTACAGGGAACTTCATTTGGATGGCAGGCCAGGCCAGCTCTGCTGCTAATTGATGTGTACTCTTGCTTTTTATACATAATATCCCAAAGTTAAGCCTGAAAATGGCTTTGCCTTGTTGGCAGGTGCCCTGTGTTCACAGAAGCATGACGAGTTTCCTGGGGAAGTGCTCTGATAAGAGGAGGCTTTGATACCTGCCTGATTGAATTCATGGCATACAGGGAGGTGAGAGGAAAGTGGTCATGGTAAGCTCAGTGTATTGAACAGTCACTTTTAAATGAAAAAAGAAAATATAAGCAGAAGCAGAGCACAGATTCCTAGCAAACTTGCAGTGATGCTTTGTGCCAATGTGGCAAAGGACTCAGCCAGAAGTTGTGCCTCTGACCAAAATCACTCAAACCAAGGGGGTGGTATTTGTGCTATGTTAAAAAAGTTACGAGTCCCTAGAGATCACAGGGTTGGTTCTAAATCATAGGAATTGCCAAGTTCTTTTGCTGCCCTTACTTCCTGAGCTCATTGAGGACCTGCATTCTTCTTGTCAGACATGGTCCCTTAATCTTCACAGAGCCTCTTCAGGAGAGTCACACCTGATTATGGACTAAGGGCTGATTTGAGAAAGGGACCAGAAACTAAAGGTAGCAAAACATGTGTGAGGGAGGAGCAGTGACATGGGGCATTTTATATCCCCTGTTGTTTGGGAAGTAGATTTTAATCTTTCTCTGAATTTGATATACAGAGCCATGGCCCAGGAGCTTGTGCTCATTTGGATTTGCTTTTTTGCTGTGCCTTTTCCGGGTTCCAGAAGTAGCATTCCCAGAGGAGCTCACTTCCCTATTCCCCAAGTGCTTTGTATTTGACAGTTCTGCCAGTCCCCGTGTGCTGATTGTGCCCTTGGCTGCAGTTCAGGGTGGGTTTGCACACTAAAGCTTCCTGTGCAGTGCCAGACTGGCCTGATGGGGACTCAGTGTCTCTCTGATCTGATGTCTCTGAACACTCTTCTCTGCCATCCATTGCCAAGGATCATTATGGCAGCTTTTCCTGGAAAAGCCAGGGGATCTTACTTTGTTTGGGAAGGGGAGGCCCAGTTGTCACTTGTGCTGCTCAGGGCCACACTCTGTCCTTGTGCTCCTGCCTGGCGCCTTGCTGGAGCTCTGTAAGTGCTGAGGAGGTGCAGCAGTCTGCCAGCGCTGTGAGCAGAGCGCTTGGCTTTTCATCTGTTTCACATCCACTTCATCCTTTACTCGAGATGTCAAATATGGTGAATGAAAGTGGTAAACTACCAGGGGGAAGATTTACAGGTCTTCTAATCGGACTTATTTGTGGATGTTAAATGGAGACGGGTTATGTCCTTATCTTCCAAGATACCAAACACATCAAAGTCTTATTTCATGTGTTTAGGTATGTTTTGTAAGAAAGTCCTCTTTTAACCTCTGGAAATTCCACAAATTGAGCCCTCCTCAAGAGAGGCGAGACAAACCGAGCTGTACAATCCTCCTCCCTCCAGTGTCATTAGCAATGAGTTGGAAAGCAGCTTTGTCCCCGACTTCCACAAATCCAAGCCAACTTGGCCATTACAGAAATGGAACCCTGACCCTCCGCATCTTCCATCACTCCTGAGCACCTGAGCAGTTTGTGTGGCAAACGCAGAGCTCAGGCACTTGCCATTAGCACAGCTTCTGTAACCAGTGACAGTAGCCAGGAAAAAGGGCAGGTGTAGGGGGCTTTGCATAAAAAGACTCTGTTTTATTTCAATGCAGGTTTGTCTCTGTGTCCTTTTTAAAGCTCTGCTCAAGGCATTCTGTTTCTATAGTAAATTCTTGTCCCACTGTGCAGCAACTTCCCAAGGGTAAGAAACATTCCAGATTTCACCCTTTCCTCAAATTACTGTTTCATTCTGTGCACACACATTTTCATGTGTTTTTTCTGCTCCTTACAGTCTAGCAAGAGTAGAAGTGATGAAAATATTTCTGATTTCATCCTTTTAAGCTGGAGCTTGAAGGTTTTCTTGTAAGTGTGGAATGTGATTCATTCTGTCCTTGAGCCACAGTTTTCTAGGCTATGTCATGCTGCCTTTATCTAGAGCATGGCATGCCCACCTGAATGCAAATGCAAGCATGCAGAAATATGTTGATTTTTAAAGGTGTTGCTTCACTCTTTACCTTTTCTCCTACTACGTGCTGACTCCCTGGTAACGTAAATATGTATGAAAAGTACCTGGAGAAAAACCCCATGTGTCACCTTGAGAGTTTATTGTGATCATATAATCTCAGCCTAACTTGATTGAAATCTTCCTTTTACATGTTTAAATTTCTGTTTGTTAATCAGACTTGAACTGAAATGCTGCAATTTTACTTTTCACTTGAAGCTCAGGGCTCCCCTGTTTACCTGTTTTTTAGTGGATGACTAGTGTCAAATAATGGGTCAAATTTTTCTGGCAATTTTATAAGTAAAGAGTAATTCTGTAGCTATATAAAGTAGAAGTAGATGGAGATTGACATTTTGTCAAATTCTCTTGTTAGCTCAGCAGAAACATTAGTCTGTTCCTAGCTTGATTTGTGTCCAATTCGTACTACTGAACACTGGGAGGATCTCATAGAGAGAATCTGGAATTTGCTTCAGGAAAGAGACATGTTCCTGGCAGCAAAAATGGAAAAAATATTTTATTTTGTTGGTACCGTTACAGTAAGACAGATTTTTTTTTTTTTTTTTTTTTTTTTTTTTGCATGTCCATGTCTGAAAGAAAGACATTTGGGGGGAGGAGGAGATGAGTGGGAATCTTGCACTGTCCTCAGGGATCAACAGTTGTGTTTATACTGTGCCTGCATCTTTGGAGCACATTTTCATCCACGTCAGTGTTCAACGTGATGCCCTGTAGCCAGTCTTTGCTATGCACTGGAAAATGGAGGGCTCTGTAAGAACAACATGATAAATTCCACAGAGACTGCCCTTGCCCTAAAGAAGGCAAATTCAGTGCTTTGCCCTTCTTTCTTTCTGCCTTTTGTGCCACCTGAATCAAGATTCTTAATGTGAGGCATCTTTCCCCAAACTGGGAAGGAAGGTCCTAACTGTGAATGCCTTATTTGTACTATACATACCCTGGGGCTTGCCCAGCTCTTTGTCTGTGCCCTGTTTTGAGAGCTGGCAATGAAAAGAGCATTTGAAGGGCTCAAATGGGGCAGAAGGGAGACAATAAAAATATTTCCATGGAAATTTCAAAGATGATTGAAGGATAGAGTAATGAGAAACAAGCCAGAGGTCATCTATGCAAAAGATTTTTAATTGAAAGCTCTAGTCAACACATGATCTGTTTCAGGTTCTGAACCATGAAGAACAAAACTCTTGAAAGAAGAGATATCAGGGAAGGACGGTATCAGGGTTGGCTTTGGGCAGCAGCTCCGAAGGCTGGATCTCGGTTCAAGAAAGGTAAGGGTTTCTGACCTGTCCATTGCCACTGCAGTACCTCAGCTCCACAAGTCTCAAGACGTTAAGTGCAATGCATGGTTGTTCATTGTATTGGGGTACTTTAAAAAAACAAACAAAAAAATTACAATTAGTTAATGGGGAAGATATTCTTAGGTTATCAATTAGAGCTCATTTTTGTTGCTTGAAGTAACCTAGGTAGTCCATAGCTGCTATATAAGAAATCATTGAATAGACGAATAATCTCTTTGAAGTCATGAAAATACACTGGGTCTGTAATACAGAAATGAGAGAACATAGGTGCTTACAGCTATCCTTTCTCTCAGTGTAGACATTGCTGAGGATATCAGTGTGCAAAATCCTACGCAATAACTTAAGCCACCTTAAATTTCACAGAAAGGGGTAGCAGTGGTATAGATCAGGTCATTTATGGAGGCTGTGACTCTGCCCTTGTTTTGGTCCTGAGCTTTGGAGATGTCAAACCCTTTGTGCAACTGGTTGGTTTCTCTGCAGCTCAAGGTAGAGGAGCAGCAATTGTGCATTGGCCATTCCCCAATGGAAACAAATGCCAGGTCACTTACAGAAAGAATTCTTTTGCCTGCACTCACCATGAACCTCATAAGCCATGTAGGTGGTGAGTCCACTGCACAGAGAGAAGACATCTGATCCATAAGACTGGAGGTTGCTGACCAATCCATTGGTGACAAAGGTGATCTCCTTGGTCGGTCTTCCAAAACCGAAAAGGTTCTAAACAACAAATACCAGCATTCAGCAAGTTCTCAGGAGCTGGTTCCCTTCTAAGCCTCTTCCTAGCACTGGAAGGATGACTTGGGGCTGGGTGTTTGAGTCCAAACTGCCTTTATGGACCCCTTTTAATCCCCTGGGGGCCCGTGGGACCACTGGCAAGCCTTGAAGGCAGCTGCAAAGGCAGAGCTCTTTCTAAGGGAGTCAAACCTTGAAGCAAGCCACAATCTATAGCTAAAGCTGAATCTTTTTGCTACGCCTTTACTGATAACACTCTGCAAGTTTTCTTCTTCCCTCTACGTGTTCTTGTTCTTTAAAGCCTTGGTTTTTTTTAAGTACTCAATTCTGAGTCTTCAGTGGCAGCCAGTGCCTGCCAAAGGTGAGTATGCTAAACACTGATCCCTTTTTTAAAAGGTCTGCGTAAATTCAGTGGGCAGAGCTCACGCTAACATGGTAGCTATTTGCAAACATTTTGAAAGATGATTTTAAAATTTTTAGCTTATTGGGATATTTGTTCTTAACCAGTTACATCTAAACCAACAAAATTAATTTTTTTACCATGCAAGGAATGGAAGATTATAAAGGGAACCTTACCACATATCTACATTCTTGGGTCATAGAAGAGTACTAAAAAGAGGGCAGCATAAAAACTCATTGCAAACTGTAAAAATTACCCAGAATATCTACAACATTAATTAAAAATGAGAAATATTCACCTTAACGATCTTATTCTTATTTTTGAACCTTTTAAAATAAAATATAATTCAAAATAAATTGAACTATATAATTAATAGTGTGATAGAAATCACTTCTGGTTTTAAAGGCTTTGAAAATAGCCGGCTTCCACATCTGTTTACTTTTAAATACTGAGCAACATTCCAAGTGACTCCTCCATTAAATTCTTACCCTCCTCTCTGCAGCCACTCTGACAAGTGCAGCAAAGGTAGGCATTTCACTCCTGTTCATGGTGGAAATGTAGCATGTTCTCTCTGGCATCACTTTTGTTGCAATGACACCCTGTAAAATAAAATTATTTAGCATTCACAATTCAGTTTTTTCCAACTGTGAACACTGGAATAAAGTTTGGATTCAAACAATAATAAATGCCAAGAGTTTCTACCCAATATTATGGTCTCAAAAATTTAAGATAAAGCCACAATCCCAGCCACTGGGCCAGCTGTATGAGCAGCCAATCTCATTGTATACTTTTTGAACAAGCCCCCTCCCTTCCACTCACCGTGTTGTAGTTCCAGATGGTTTTCCAGGACAAATGGTTGCTCTTTTGCTCTATAATTGCCTTTTGTGTTTGGCTATTGATGCTTATGCTTTGTGAGACACCAGAGATGGAGATATGAGAGTTCCCACCAGAGATGGAGATGTGGGAATCTCCATCAGCGATGATTTGTTGGTTGTTACCCCACTGCAGAGATAAGAAAACCACATGTTTTCAGAAAACCAAATATTTTCAGACCGTGCAAGTAGCTACATCTCACACCATGGATTTACAAAAAATCCCTGCAAAAAATATTCAGCGCTCTGATCTAGGGACGGATAGCAGTAGAGGTGTATGTTCAAGCAAGGGAGAGATATTTAAAATAAAAAACAAACAAACAAACAAAAAAGCTGTGGCATTTGGAAGAGGATATAAGAATCCTTTTCATGGATTCAGTGAATCATTGCTGCATCTGACAGCTGTCACCTGCTGCCTTTAGACATTTATGCAAGCTAGAGCAATGACCAGAGTAAATCCACATTCAAGGTCTCTGATGGAAACCTCTGCTCACTCAGTCATCTTTTAAAGCAACCCCACCTTCAGGCAGGAACCTCCGACAAGATGAGATGCCAGGCAAGAAGGGCATCAGGGTTGGCTTTGGGCAGTAGCTCTGGTTATAAAGGAATGCCTAACATTTTCTCACCTGTCCAGTGCCATTCCAATTGCCATTCCAATTGCCAGTGCTGTTCCAAATGCCATTCCAGTTGCCATTGCTATTCCAATTGTTGTTCCAGTTGCCATTTCCATTCCATTGACCATTGCCAATGCCATTCCAATTGTTGTTCCAGTTGCCATTGCCAATGCCATTCCAAATGTTGTTCCAGTTGTCATTGCCAATGCCATTCCAGTTGTTGTTCCAGTTGCCATTGCCAATGCCATTGCCATTCCAATTGCCATTCCAATTGCCATTCCAGTTGCCATTGCTGTTGCCATTCCAATTGTTGTTCCAGTTGCTATTGCCGTTCCATTGGCCATTCCAATTGCCATTGCCATTGCCATTCCAATCGTTGTTCCAGTTGCCATTGCCATTGCCGTTCCATTGGCCATTCCACTGGCCATTGCCAATGCCATTCCAGTTGTTGTTCCAGTGGCCATTGCCAATGCCATTCCATTGGCCATTCCAGTTGCCATTGCCATTGCCATTCCAATTGCCATTCCATTGGCCATTCCAATTGCCATTGCTATTGCAGTACTGCAGCTCCACAACTCTCAGGACATCGAGGGTAATGCAGGATCCCAGATTTGCCTGGGGTCCTTGGAAAGCTGGAAAAGAAAAGACAAAACCCCATAGGCTGATGCCTAAGAGCTTGGCTGAAGTTCTACAGGAGGGTTTCTTTGAGTATTGAGTGGAAGAGCAGCAACTGTGCCTTCGTCATGCCCCAAGGAATAATTTGTAAGGTCATAACCCTCAGAATTCCCATGCTTGTACTCACTGTGAACTTCAGAAGCCAAGTAGGTGGTGAGTCCACTGCACATAGCTGCGATGTTTATTCCGTAGGAGTAGAGGTTGTTGACCAGTCCATTGGTGACAAAGGTGATTCTCTTGGTAGGTCTTCCAAAAGTGCCAATCAGGTTCTACATATGAAAAACGAGCATTTAGCCAGATAATTCCCAGGAGCTGGTTCCTGCCAGGGCTATTCCTAGCTCTGGGAGGACGACTCTGCACTTTGATTCCCAGCTGCTTCTAGGGACACTTTGTAATCGCCTGGGGGACCTGTGGAACTATGAGCAAGCCTTGAACATAGCTGCAAAGGCTGAGCTTGTTCTACAGGAGTCCAGGTGCAGGAAACTTGAGGGGATGTGGCGGAAAACAAAAGCACTGAACAGTTCCACAATCACAGGTTCACCTAGCAAGCTGCAGAGGCCAACCTCCTAATGGAAAGTGGCAAAGGGAATGATGCAGCCCTATTCTTCTTCTGGCAAAGCATTCCTACTATGCATTTCTCATCTTCATTACTTTTAAGAGAAAGGAAACTCTGTCACTAGTGACAACCTGATCTTATCTAGAAATAAAAAGCACATGAAGAAATGGCCCAGTGTTCTCTAGAGCCAGGAACCTGCTGCTCCTTTGGAACCTTACCCTGCTCTCTTGTGCCAGGCGGGCCAGGTTATCAAAGCGGGGCATCTCACTTCTGTTCATGATGGAAATGTAGCAGGTGTTCTGTTGCGTGACTTTGGTTGCAATGACGCCCTGTGAAATGAAATTATTCAGCACTCACAATTCTGTTTTTACCAACGGCTAATATTGGGATAAAGTTGGGATGGAAACCCAACTAACAAATGCTGAGTGTATTGCCCAAACTGTGGACTCCAAACATTCAGAATAAAGAAACAATCACCATCTCTGGGCCAGCTGTATGAACAGTTGGACATCTTGGATGCCATTTGATGGAGCACCCTGTCTGCCACTGACCGTGTTGTAGTTCCAGATGGTTTTCCAGGACCCGCTGATGTTCCTTCTCTCAATGATTGCCACACGCCATTGCCTGTTGATGGTCACAATTTGGGACTGGCCACCAATGATGACTTGCGTGTGGTTGAAGATGCCACTGGGAATCTGCTGAGACTAAAAAGGCAAGGGAAAGAAGATGTTTTGCCTTTGAAGGGAGACAGTGATGTCCCCAAAGCTTCCAAAAAATCCCTGCTACAATGGAAGAAGTTCTGCCCCCAGGGAGTGCTGGCACTGCCCTCAGTCTTTTCCAAAGGACCCAGGATCAAGGCTGTGGCAGTGGGCAGAGGCCTTAAGAAGTCTGTTCCTGGATTCAGTGAATCATTGCTGCACCTGACAGCTGCCACCTGGTGCTGTTAGAGGTTCATGCATTCTAGATCACTGGCCAGAGTAAATTCACGCTCAAGAGCTTGGTCGGAAACTGCTGCTCACCCATTGGTCCCTTTGAAGGCACTGAAGCTTCAAGCAGGAACCTCTCAATGCGGAGATGCCAGGCAAGAAGGGCATCGGGGTTGTCTTTGGGCAGCAGCTCAGAAGACCCCCACCCCACCCCTATTAGGTTCAAGAAATGTAAGGGCTTAGGTTTTCTCACCGGGAAATTGACACTGCCATTGCCAATGCAGTACTGCAGGTCCACAACTCTCAGGACATCGAGGGTAATGCATGATCCCAGATTCACCTGGGGTCCCTGGAAAGCTGGGAAAGAAAAGATAAATCTGCTTGAGCTGATGCCTAAACCCTTGGCTGAAGTTCTACAGGAGGGTTTCTTTGGGTTTTGAGTTGGAAGAGCTGCAACTGTGCCCTAGTCATGCCCCAGGAGACAAAAAGGCCAGATCTGTACCACTCAGAATTCCCACACTTACACTCACTGTGAACTTCATAAGCCATGTAGGTGGTGAGTCCGCTGCACATAGCCGCGATTTCTATTCCATAGGAGTTGAGGTTGTTGACCACTCCATTGGTGACAAAGGTGATTCTCTTGGTATGTCTTCCAAAAGCGCCAATCATGTTCTAAACATTAAAAACCACCATTCAGTGAGCTTAGTGAAGAGAGGTGATTCCTGCTAGGCCTGTTCCTCTGCAATGATGATTCAGGGCTGGGTGTTTGAGTCCCACCTGCCTCTAGGGACACTTTGTAATCGCCTGGGGGGCCTGTGGGACCACTAGCAAGCCTTGGCAGGTGCTCCAAAGGGACAAAGCTGATTCTAAGCGAGTCAAGGTGCATGGAACTTGAGGTGAGATGGCAGCACAAGGAAAGCACTAAAAAGCTTCAGAAAGAACGGGTTTTCCAGCAAGCTGCAGAGCTCAACATCCTCCAGGAAAGTGGGGGTGGGAATAATGCAACCCCTTTCTTTTGGAAAGCACTCCTGCAACAAATTCCTAATATGCATTACTGTTGAGAGAAAGGAAACTCTGCCACAAGGCACAACCTGATCATGTCCAGAAAGAAAAAGCACATGAAGAAATCGCCCAGTGATCTCTACAGCCTGGAACCTGCTACTCCTCCAGAATCTTACCCTGCTCTCTTGTGCCAGGCGGGCCAGGTTATCAAAGCGGGGCATCTCATTTCTGTTCATGATGGAAATGTAGCAGGTGTTCTGTTGTGTGACTTTGGTTGCAATGACGCCCTGTGAATTGAAATTATTCAACACTCAAAATTCCTTTTATACCAACTGTTAATATTGGGATAAAGTTGGGATGGAAGGCATAACTAATGCTGGGTTTCAGTGCCCCAGACTGTGGACTGTAAAAGTTCAGAATAAAGAAACAATCTCAGGCTCAGGACCAGCTGTATGAGCAGCCAGCCTTCTTTGATGATTTTTGAAAGAGTCCCGTCCCTGCCACTCACCGTGTTGTAGTTCCAGACAGTTTTCCAGGACCCGCTGAAGCTCCTTTGCTCAATGACAGCCACACGCCATTGCCTGTTGATGGTCACAATTTGGGACTGGCCACCAATGATGACTTGGGTGTTGTTGAAGATGCTGCCTTGCGTGTTGTTGAAGATGCCGCCGGGAAACTGCTGAGACTAAAAAGACAAGGGAAAGAAGAAGTTTTGCCTTTGAAGGGAGACAGTGATGTCCCCAAAGCTTCCAAAAAATCCCTGCCACAATGGAAAAAGTGCCGGCCCTGGGGAGTGCTGGCACTGCCCTCAGTCTTTTCCAAAGGATCCAGGATCAAGGCAGTGGCGGTGGGCAGTGGCCTTAAAAATTCTTTCCATGGATTCCGTGAATCATTGCTGTATCTGACAGCAGTCATCTGCTGCCTTTTGAGGTTGATGCATGTT